TGTGGGACGGACGAAAATAGAAAATAGAGACAAATTATGTGGGACGGAGGGAGTAATTTTTATCTTCTTCCTTTTAATATATTCAATATTTAGTTTTTATATAAAATATAACATTCAATAATTATTTTATTTAAAAAAAACACCAAAATATCATTTATTTTTCAATTTAGACTCTACTGACAATTTAACTAAAAAATATTGTCAATCTCAGTCTTTGGTCCTAATTGGATGCCATATCAGCTCCGTTATGTTCACGTCAACGTTTCCGTTAATTCTTTTAGTAGTGGGATTGAAATTGATTGAAATTAGTTATATTGATAAATTTGTTATATTTGGAACAAAAGTGATTAATTTTAATTATATTAGGACTAAAAATAATATTTTTTTTCTCAAAATTTTATTACTTGAAGTATTGTTGTAGTAAAAGTGAAAAAAGAATATCACTGTTAAGAAAAGTAAAAAATCAGTTGAGAATTAAATATTTCTCAAAAGAAGATTGCAAGTCGAACAAAGCATGAAAAAATGATTGAGTGTACTGCAAAAATGAAATTACAGTTTGATATATACAAAGTTACCTCTTTGATAACAACGATAATCATGAATTACATAAACCAGAACACAAGCATATGCTTACTTCAAACAGAAGAATGAATGAATATTACTCCATCTGTTCTAATACAATAGTTCTGTTTACCATTTTTGTCCGTCCCAAAACAATAGTCTCATTTCCATAAATAACCATATTACTATAAAATTATTCTTACGTTTTCATTATTATTACATTATTGCCACTATTTTTTACACTAATACACTAACAAGGGCAAAAAAGTCTTTTACCCGTACTTTTTACCAACTACCAATATAATATCAATATTTCTTAAATCTCGTGTCAAAACACAATTCAGACTATAATTTTGGAGCGAAGGGAGTACATTATTATAGCAAAGATGAATCATGAAACTAGGATCCAAATGAGAAATACTTTTGATCCGATGAAAATAGTTGTAAAGGGCAGCCAAAGTATAGTTTTCCTTAAGCCAGCTCTTAAAAATCAGATGAACAAACAAAGAGATGTTGCTTTGAAGAAATGATAAGCAAATGCACTACTCAAATATTTCAGTAAAAAAAAAAAAAAAAAAAAAAAAAAAAAAAAAAAAAAAAAAACACATAGACAATCTTACTTCTTCTATGAGATTGAGATTGATAAAAATGAAAGGATAGCAAATATTTTTTTGACTAATGCTCAAATGAAAATAGGCTGTCCATTTTTTTGGAAATGATATATCATTTGGTACAACATACCTAACAAACAAAAATTGCTGACTTTTTGGTAATATGATACGGTGATACGATGATTTATGAAAATAAGACTATTATTTTAAGACGTATAAAAATGATAAATAAGACTATTGCATTGAAACGGAGAAAATATTAGTGTACGTGTGAACAACATCAGTTTTGATTGTTGAAAAGAAAAATATCAACTTAGAAAATATCTAAACAACTCTTTAAAAGAGTAACTTCTTTAAACAAAAATTATTACATAGTTTACTTATATTATTAAATAATTAGAGTTTTACATTGGATAGCCATGATTAGCCCATAAAAAACTACACATCACATGATTTTTTCTTTTTAAAAAAATGCACACATTATATAATCTACACATACTTTGTTCTAGTTTATATCTTTATTTTTTACCACTATTAATTCATACTATATTAATAAATACATTTTGCTTTTCAATTATATCTTACGTGTTACTTATATATTCTATATATATATATATATGCTTGTGCTTTGTGTAAAATTTTACTATCAGACAAAAAGATTGCTAATATGATTTTTTGTTTCAAAATAATATTCTCATTTTTTTTTTTGTTCGTGTCAAAACAGTTAATTTTATTTTTTATTTTTTTTCGTCCCAAAATAATTTTTTTTTTATTTTTTATTTTTGTCCATTTCAAAATAATTAGTTTCATTTTCATAAATAATTATATGACTATAAAATTACCTCAGACTTTTTCATTATTATTACACAAAAATTATTATTTTTTACACCAATACTCTCACAAGAATATTTTAGTATTTTACTATCTACTTTACATTCACTTTTAATATAATATTATTATTTCTTAAATTCTTTATCAAATCCAAATGAGACTATTGTTTCTTGTTTCATGATACTCCCTCCGTCCACAAAATAAGTATACATTTACTTTTGACGCGGTGTTCAAGAAATAATAGTATTTTAATTATAATAGGTAGGTAAATATAGTTAAATGATATTTTTGCCCTTACTTTTTTTGTATAAAAGTAATGATGTGATGTAAAGTATGAGTATTTGTGAAACAAATGGAGTATTTAATGAAATTGTTATTTTATAATTGGACGTCCCAAAATAAAAATATGTATACTTTTAGCTGCTGGTCGGAGGAAGTATTATTTTTGGATGAAATTTTTAGTTTGTGTATTCTCCAAAAAAATATGATACAAAATGCATAATTGAAAATATGATGTGATGTTAGTGTCGGAAATTGATTTGCTTAATGGTTGTTTGCTGGTGGCTACATGTGTCGTGCCTCCGACATGCTATTTGTTCCTTTATGTTGTTGTTGGCTTTGATCAAATTTTATTTTGTGTATAAAATGAGTAATTTTTTTTACCAAAAAAATAAATAATATTTCTTCAGTTTCGGATCAGATGATCCATTTGATTAGAGATAAAGTATTTTAGGTAGGTGATATTTCCGATCAGATAATCAATTTGATTAAGGATACAGTATTTTAGATAATGTATATTAGTAAGTTATTAATAATGAATTATTATGTTATTTTATTATTTTTTATATGAATAACCTTGTTTATATTTTAAATATTTTAGCATTATATCCCAATATAGTATATACAACATGAATATCATTTTGTAGATAATAAAATATTATATAATATAAATAGATAAAAAATATATATTTATTTATTTTAATTAATTTAAAACTAATTTTATAAAGAATAAAAAATTTTAAATATAAATAAAAATATATATTTTTTTATTAAGGATACAAAATTAAAAGGGTTTTGAGTAGGTCCAATAAATAAGAAGTTAGAAATTTAATTAAATTTATTTACTCTATTTGTATTATTTTTTATTTTTGTCTGTCCCAAAACAAGGGTACCATTTTCTAATTTAGTAATTGTACTACATACATAACATAATTAATATCCTTACAACTTTCAATATATTACATGAATTTTATTACTTTAATATCACATAATCTAATAAGGACAATTTTGTCATTTTCACTATAAACCAATATAATGTTAATATTAAAAAAATCTATATGAAAAAAAATAAAATGTTATCGATTTTATGGGACGGAAATAGTATATTAGTTAAATATATTTAACATAAATAAATTTAATAAAAATAAAAAGGTGTCACAACGGACAAAAAAGAAAAAAAAAAATTCATCTATAGCGGATAGAGATGTCAGCGGGGCTGGTTTGGAATGAGTTCTGCAAGCCCCTGGATCCGCCCCTTCCCGAACTCTCTGGGTTCGAGGCCAACTCGATAAACCCGTTTTCTAAAATATATATGATTTAATACTAAAAACAGTAAGTGTTAAAATCCAAAAAAAAAAAAAAAGAAGATTAGTTCAAAACAATAAAAGAATAGACGGTGATCCACAATGATGGCGGTCGGCAGCAAGTAAGGCAAAATTTTAGTTCAAAAAATAAGAATAATCAAATATAGACGGTGATCCGCAATAATGTCGGTCGGTGGTAGGTGAGGCGGCAACAGTAGTCCCGATTGTAAGGAGAATTGAGAAAAAAGCAAACATGAATACAAATTTGATTTGAGAATTAAAATTATATTTTATATTTAATTTTTTAAAAATAAATATGTAATAATAATTTATACTCCCTCCGTCCACTTAAGAAGTATACATTTATTTTTTGCTGGGAGTTTAAGAAATAATACTAGTATTTTATTTATAGTGTGTAATTAAAAGTAGTGTAATGACATTTTTGTCCTTGTCTTTTGGTATAAAAGTAATGATATGATGTAAAGTAAGGATATTTATTAAAAAAAAAAAAGGTATTTAATAAATAGTTACTTTGTAATTGGACGTCACAAAATATAAATACGTACGGAGGGGGTATTATATAAATATATATATATATATTAATTCTAATAATTATTAAAATATTTGGGTTCAAGACCAAGTCCTGGCTAGAACGATTTTAGTAAAATTCATAACATGCTCCGAACCCGCCAAATTTAAAATTTAAAATTTACAATTCGTTTCGAAGCACAATTTTTAGATCCGAACCTGTCTCATTCAAAGCTAATCCACCCCATTTGACATTTCTAAGGGCGGAAATAGTCTAATATACTTTTAAAAATTATATACATATTAAACATATATATATTTTATAGAAATATGTATGATTGTGTTTTTTTTTTATTCCAAATTTTTACTATTCAGATTTTTTTTTAAAAAATATATATATCACAGCAAACAATTACTTATATATATATATTATACTAAAAATTCTTTTATATTTAAAATATCACATAAATATATATTTATATCACATCAAATAATTATTTAAATTTAACTTTTTACTATTTTAACCATTCAAAACCCAAAATCTCAAACCGCCAAACAAACACACACTCTGAGTTTAATTTGAGATTAAAAAATAATAATAATAATAAAATAATAAAATAAAAATAAAAATTTCACCAATAAACACATCTAAGGAGTTGAGAAAATTCCGGGGGGTGGAAGTTGAATGAGCACACGCGACAGTATAGGCGCGTGAGGTCTGAAGAGTGACAGAAACCCTAGCAAGAAAAGATGACCAGACAAGCCACATAAATTAACTAAACAGGCTTCAATTAATTTTTATTTTATTATTTATAAAAATATAAACAGAGACCAGACAGACATAGAGAGAGAGAGAACTTTACATCTTTAATTAATTAATTAATTTTTATTTTTATTTTTATTTTTATTATGTCGCACGCATCCATGGCAGCTAAAACAGAGACCAGCTGAGCTTCATGAACTGACAGAGAAGAAGAAGAAGAAGAGATATAGAAAAAAGGAGTGGGAGAGAGAGATAAAATAGAGGGAGAGATTGCTTCAGTTCAGACCCACCCACCATTTTCGTTCCTGCTTAAATTCCAAAGTCTGAATTTCTTCTCTCCCTACAAAATCTCTCACAGGAAGATCGCTGTAGGCTTTGATCGGAAATGGAGAAATTAGGGATTTGGTAGCAGATACATTCATACATGTATATGAAATATGTGTGTATTGATGAGAATTAGGGTTTGATCGATCAAATCGGTGGATTTGGGTGATGAAGGGGATGCCCTTGCCCTTTGATTTTGATTTTGAGGGGAAGGGGTTTCTCGATTCTGATTTCGATTTCGATTTTGATTTTGATTTTGATTTGGAGCTGATTGTGAAGAAGAAGAAGAAGAAGAACAGTGCTGCTGCTGCAAATACGACGTCGTCTTCTGTTTCTCTGCTGAAGAAGACGACGACGAAGAAGAAGAATTGGTGCTATAGTTTTGGTGAACCTACTTCTGTCCTGGATTCTGCAAAAATTTCCAGCAGGCCTGCTTCTTCTTCTACGCTGTCCTCATCCCTCGGCGCCGTCGCCGGCGCCGGCGCCGGCGCTTCTACCGACACCGCACCAGGCGTAGGCCCATCGGTTTCCGACACGAATCCTTCTCCCGGATGGCCGCAGGAGTCCGCCACGGCGACGAGCTCCAATGCCGGAGGAGCTGAGTCGGAGCTCTTCCCTCTCCCGCCGCCGATCGGAGCCCCGCCGGAGAAATTCGCGATGGAGGATTGGGAGAGCGTCCTGTCGGAGTCACAAGACCAGTCGATTCTCCGGTGGATCATGGCCGATAATGCCGAAGACCCTGACCTCAACAGAATCGGAACCTCCACCCCGCCGGAGCTCGACTTCGGCGGCGCCGATCAGTACCCGTACGGCGGCGCCGACCACTTGGCCCCCAGATCCATCCCCCACCCCCTCCCCCCCTCCCCTTACCTTCACCTCAACAACCCTAATTTCAATTTCAATTCAAAATCCCCAAATTTCCCCTCCCATATAAACCCTAATTTCAATTTCAATTCCAAATCCCCAAATTTCCCAAACCCTAATTTCTTCTTCCCTCACGACCAGTACTCCTTTACACCCACCTCCCCTCCGCCGCCGGCGAAGCGCCACCACTCCGGCGACCCCGACGAATCCGGTCAACAGCAGCAGGCCATCGTAGATCATCTCTACAAGGCCGCCGAGCTCGTCCAGACCGGAAACCCAATCCTCGCGCAAGGGATATTGGCGCGGCTCAATCACCACCTCTCCCCCGCCGGAAACCCCTTCACCAGAGCTGCTTATTACTGCAAGGAGGCTCTGCTCCAATCCCTCACCTCCACCACCACCACCGCCGTCGCCGCCGGAACCCTATCTTCTCCGATCAACCTCATTTTCAAAATCGCCGCATACAAGCTGTTCTCCGAGGTCTCCCCGATCGTCCACTTCGCAAACTTCACTTCCAACCAGGCCCTCCTCGAATCCTTCCAAGGCTTCCCCTCGATCCACATTCTCGATTTCGACATCGGCTATGGCGGCCAATGGGCCTCCCTAATGCAGGAGCTCGTTCTAAGAACCGGCGGCGCCCCCACCCTCAAAATCACCGCAGTCGCGGCGGCGGCGGCGGCGCCCCACGATCGCCTCAAGCTTAGCCTTACGGGGGAGAATCTAATCCAATTCGCGCAAGAAATCAACATTCCTTTCCATCTCGAGATCGTCGATGACATCGAAAAATTGAATTCAAATTCAAATCCGTTCCTTTTTCGTGAATCCGATACTGCAATTGCCGTGAATCTCCCCGTCGATTCTCTCGTCGAAAACCCGGCCATTCTCAGCTTCGTCAAGAACCTGTCGCCGAGGATTGTCGTTACGGTCGATCGGGGTTGTGACCGATCCGATCTCCCGATCGCCAACCACGTGATACACACGCTGCAGACGTATTCGAATCTGCTGGAATCGCTCGATGCCGGGAACGTGAATATCGACGCAATGCAGAAGATCGAGCGGCTGCTATTCCAGCCAAGAATCGAGAAAATCGTTGCGGCGCGATTCCTCCATTGCCCGGAGAAGACTACGCAGCAGCACTGGCGGGCTCTGTTCGTGTCGTCGGGATTTTCGCCGGCGACGTTCAGCAATTTCGCGGAGTCGCAGGCGGAGTGCGTCGTGAAGCGCGTCCCGATCCGCGGATTTCAGGTGGAGCGGCGGCAGTCGTCGCTCGTGCTTTGCTGGCGGCAGAAGGAGTTGATCTCCGCCACGGCGTGGCGGTGCTGAGCTAAGATAAGATCTCGGAAAAGGTTTTAATTTTGATTCATGGGTTTAATCGATCTTATTGTTATACGTATTCGACTGATCAGGTGAAGTAAAATTTAATGGATTAATTAGGTAGATATATATATATATATATATGTATGTATGTATGATTGGGATGTAAGAATTTAAGCATTTGCTGCTGCATATATGCTAATTGTTGTCTAAATTCATTATTGGAAGATATTGTGGGAGGTAATTGTTGTGTATCTGAGCCTTGACTGATTATATATTTATTTTTCATCAAATTCTTTATGGCATAGAAATTAATTTTTGTTATTCTTGTTTACATTCTTCCTTTGTTCTTACGACGCAGTTGGGATAATTCACTGAATCAAAGTAAAAAATAGAGCTCTCAACGTTGGTAGAGTCACAAATAGGGTTCTTAATGTCGTTAAAATCGGAAGTAGAGCTCTTAACATCATTAGAGTAGAAGACAAAGCTCTCAATATTATTAGAGCTTCTCCAACCCATTGCATAAATCTTCTCCCATTTTTGCAGACATGTACAGTGTTACTCCAAATTAAATTATATGGAGTAAAAATTGAAGTTTACGGTTGGAAGTAAAATTACTGTAGATCAACTGCATTTTTACTGTAGCAACTGCAAAAATGGAGTATAGAGTTGGAGATGGCCTTAGAGTCGGAGACATGACTCTCAATATCGTTAGCGTCGGAAACAAGGTTTTGTCAGTGGCGGCGCAGTAAAAATATATGCATAAAAAGTTATATCAACAAATACAACATAACGGGTTATGGTTTTATTCAGAAAGAATTTTACTCCGATACTATATTAGAATACAAAACTAAAAATTATTTATTTCATCGTAAGAATCTATATATTATATCTAGCTTCCGGACACACTTTTCTTACATCTCCCGACCAAGGGAGAAGAAGCATTCACGCATGTATTGTAGAATTAAGCTTCTGTCCACAGAAAATCCTGAAATAAATTTCAACACATCAAAGGCACGGAGTACAGTGTCATCCTAAGCTGCTTCATGTCTACTCCGTCTACCGGAAAACAACTCAAAAAACATGGAGGCAATGTTATGGTTGAGAAGCCTTCCTTTGTAGAATCAAGGTCGATCCTAACTTTCGAAGGCTCGAGACAAAGAAAATCAGGGATCCCTAAATATATATAAATAATTTTTTTTTTTATAATAAAAATTTAAATAATTAAATAAAATATTCTTTTCTAATATTTTTAGATGAAAATTTAGTACTCCTTCCGTCCCAAATACCCTGCAATATTTCCTTTTTGGTACGTCCCAAACACCCTGTAACATTTCTAAAATATGAAATAATTAATTATACTTAATATCTACCTCACACTTTATCCTATCACATCATCCAAATAAAATAATAAAATATACATTTCTCTCTCCATCACATCACCTAATTTCTAAATTATTCTACTTAATACTACTCACCTAAAAACCCGTGCCAAAAGCAAATGTTGCACCTTGTTTAGGACGGATGAAGCATTAAGAAAATTTCAAAATTTTTGTAACTCAATCTCACAATTACAAAATAATCTTACATCACTAAACTACATTTCTTTTAGTTTCTAAGTAAATCAAATAAATTCTATATATATATAACAAAAATATTTGACCGACGCTCCTCATCTATATTGAGCCCTTGGCGGGCACCTCTCTCACCCAAGCCTAAGGCCAACCCAACTCAGCATCCTAACCTAACTCGATTTGCCCTGCATGGGACTCCTAATAAATAGTAGGCCCTCAAGTAAACCGATGTACTTACCTTGAAGTTAATAAAGTTTATAAGTTAGGTTTGCTTTTAATACAAATTTTTGTATGATTTGTCCCTAAGCAATTTTGGTGAAATTTTTATCTACGGAGTGTCTAATTTGAAAGTGTGAGTAAAAAATCAAGATAAATATAACCTCGAACTCTTCCATCCACCGTGCATTATTGTCCCTACTCTTATATGACACTCTGCCACGAGGCATCTAATGATTACGGTATAAGTAATGATGAAATAATTATTAGGATAGTTAATTTTGCGGGTTGGATACACAATAGGCCCATGCCGACGATGGAACTGAATTTACGCTATAACATAAAACATAAGTAATCAAGTAATTATTATACTACCTCTATTTTATATCCTATAAGAATGTCATTATTTGTCTTTTGTATCATTGTATTTAAAGTTAAAAATATTTGTATAATTTACTCCACAAATGTCATTGTATTTGTATTATAAGAGACTAATAGAGATGGTTTTGTCATTTTCTTTTTATTTGTATTAAGTATTAATATAATAACTAATATTTAAATATCTACACGCAAAAAACTCATGATACTCTTCTTATGGGACGAAGATAATATCTAACTTTTATATGTTCATAATTTTATAGTAAAATATAAAAATAAATAAATAAAATTGCAAATTTTTTTACAAAACTCACTTCACATAGATATGAATGTATTGAATGACTTAGAACAACTGTAAAAATGATATATTATACTCCCTCCGTCCCCCAATGAGGGTGGTGTTTGCTTTTTGTACGTAGATTTTTGAATATTAGTATTATATTGGATTGTAATAAAAAAGACGAAAATACCCCTATTAGTATGGTGTAATATAAAAATAATGACATTTGTGTAATATATTGTAAATTGAAAGGATATTTATTATGTGAAGTAAGTAGTACATTTACTAAATTAGGAAATGGTAACCTTGTTTTGGGACTGACGAAAATGGAAAACGGTAACCTTTCAATGAGACGGAGGGAGTATATATTTTAATATTTTATTATCATACTTATATTTCATGTACAAGTTTCGACGTAAATATAGTTTAAATTTGATGATAAAATATAATACTGAAAGTATTAACTTTTAAATTGTTATTCAAATAATTTTAATTTATCTTTCATCGCGAACTATCTTATTTAAAATTTTCTATAAGATCAAATATATTTTACATATATATAAATATATAATTTCATATTAAATTATTGGGTAAATTGTTTTTTTAGTCCCGTAACTGAACTCTCTTATCATTTTAGTCCCGTAAGTGGAGTCTGTCGCAAACTAGTCCCATAAATGAAAAAATTTCGCTGTTTTAGTCCTCGGGCGCCGGAGACGTCCGTGTGACTCGCCGGAGGCCACGTGTCTGCCAGGTCACCGACACCTGGCGGACACATGGATTTTATTATTATTATTTTCATTTTAAAATTTTTAAAAAATGAAAGAAAAAAAATCCACGTATCCACCAAGTGTTGCTGACTTGGCGGGACACGTAGCTTCCAGCGAGCTACGCGGGCGTCTCCGGCGTCGGAGGACTAAAACAACAAAATTTTTCCACTTATGAGACTAGTTTGGGACAGACTCCACTTACGGGACTAAAATGATAAGAGAGTTCAGTTACCGGACTAAAAAACAATTTACCCTAAATTATTTTAAGATACTGCCATATATATCGTTTAAATGTAGTAGAAGAAAAAATAGTAAAGCATTAGTATACGAATACATTTAGGGTGTGTTTGTATGGGGGATTGGATTTTATATCCACTACTCATCCTATTTTTTTCTCCAAAAAATATCAAACCAAACACATATTTTTCAATTTTTTATATTATACCAAAAATCATTTTACATTTAAAACATCATATCAACACCTATTTATATCACATTATACAATTATTCAAATCCAAGATTTTTACTATTCAAATCCTAATTCAAAATCCTAACTCAAAATTCAAAATTTTTACTATTCATACTACAACTTTTCCTAAATGATAGGATCAAAATATTGTCATAATTATATTTTATCTAAATAATTAATTGATAGGACAATATCTATATTTTTATACAAGATATTTTATACTCTATCCGTTTCACTTTTTTTTTTTTTTTTTTTTCGTTTATCCCATATAATATCTTTTTTTTTAAAAAAATTATTATACACTTTAATCACATTTTAAATTTATATAATTTTTAAATTAATTTTAATTAAACTATTTAGTTATTTTAATTTTAATATATAATTATTTGTATTATATAATAATTATTTTTACTAATATATTTCTTTATTATTCACTAATTATATTTCTCTTAAAATTTTGTATTTACAATAATATGATAATTTTTATAAAACGAATGTACTATTATAGTAAATTATGTAGTATAAAATATTTTGTTTTAAAAATTTATACAAAGTGTACTATGCAAGGAGAACATGCTATTGATTATATATATCAACCCCAACATGCTAAAAATAAATAGAGAGAGAATGAGTTCTTTTGCTCATAATTTTTTTTTTTTTATATGATTCTTAATATTATTTCCGTCTTAAATATAATGTAATATTTATTTTCGACGCAAGAATTTAGGTGGATAATATTAATAGAATAATTTGATAATTAAGTGATATGATGAGAGAGGAAAATGTATATTTATTTTAATAATACGATAGGATAAAGTGTAGGGTAAATATACTCCCTCCATTCGTTCTAAGGGTCACATTTACCTTTTACATCATTGTACTTCACATTAAAAGTATCCTTATATTTGTATAATTTTTTGTACAAATATCTTTCTATTAGTATTACAAGACACCACTGAATACGTGCTAACGTAAAAAATTAGCACCATGCTGATATTTTTCAAATCAACACCGTAATCATCTCCCTTTATGTCATATACAACTGATATAATTATATATTGATGACGTGAAAGACCAATATCAGATCAAGTCAATTTTTACCAATTAAATTAGTAGATGGTCCCTATATCCTATGATGCTTTTCGAAACCGACTTTAAAGATTTAGATAATACTAATTTCTTCTATATAAAATTATTTATTTATTTATAATTTTGATTTGTTTTATATAATTTATTACTTTAAATTTCATACTTTATAATTTTTTTAATTTTAATTAAATTATTTAATTATTTAATATTAATCTATAATTATTTTCATTATGCAATAAGTATTTTTACTAATATATTTTTTACTTACTTATTAATTACTTCATCTGTTATTTAAATTTATTTTCGTTTTATTTTTTTAAGTAAAAAAATACTATTATTTCTACTTATGTTTTTAAATTGTGAATTTTTTATGTTAGATACAAAGAATTGTCTAGTCATATAAAAAAATAGTAATACTTTTTGTTGAATTATTGATTTTTTATGGATGAATAATATATATATATATATTGTATTCATATGTATATGAATGGTTACAGTGCTGATTTGCAAAATCAATACATCTAA